GTTTTTACCTTTTTGTTATATTATTTCAGATAATGTTGACTGCTTTTTTGTTCTGCTCTGCCCTACGACATAATTTAATACAGTGATAAACAGCCAGACAGACCCCAAGAAAGAAATGAAATTTGAAGTATTTCAGGTTTTAGACCGCATCCTAACACTGAGACTGAACGGTACTTTATGGGAAATAAATACATTTACGCTCCACTTTTTATCTGTTTAACTTTTAGTTTAAGATCAAGTTCATCACGGCATTCTCATAAATGGACAAGGTGGTCTTTGAAGCTTTCACCTCCTGATTGATTTTCTGTTTTTAATTGAGTGTGACTAATTTCTACCTTTTCAATGGGGAAGTATGGAGTGCCCCAGGGGTCTATACTAGGACCTTTTATTTTTCTAGCTGTCATTTTTTTCTTCCTAATCATATATTTTCACTATTACAGTAGTAAGAACATCCAATATTGCTCGTCTTCTTTAAGAAAGATTGATCAATTTAGGTCCTCAAGAAAGATACAAGGGGCCAAAATAGGTTTCCTGTGAAGTTCACCTCTGCTAGCCGGATAATCGGTAGAAGATGGATGTGTTGATGATCAATGTAGTGTTGAGCCTAAAGGAAACTGAAACATATGTGTTTATCTTCTTGTGCATAGACAAATGCAATGGTCTCCTGAAAGGCATACATCAAAAAACAATCTTACATTGTACAGAGGAGGCAGACCAATTAAAAACACAACATACTGTAACCAAGCACATCTCTTTTGATATTATTATACAGGCTGAAATTGTGTTGTATTGTTTGAACGTTTTAGATGTATTATTACGGTATCTCTGGGTTTCTTTCTGAATACTACAGCTGTTATTTTTAAAGTATATATATATATTATTATTTTTGTATTCCTGTGTATCTGATCTTCCATTTGTGTCATTTTGCTGATTCCCACATTACTCTGTCATTGTAATTGTCAAGTGGCACATTGTAACTCATGTTTTGAATATTAGTATGATGGAAATACACAAGACTTAAAGTAAAAGTGCAAGTAGACAGATAAGTAAAATGTCCACAGCGATATGACAGTAAGGAGGCTTGTGTTACACAGACTTAGCTGAAAAATATAAAAGGAGCTGCTGAAACCAAACACTCGCTTGAGGCTAAGAAAACAAGGCCACTCTTTTCAAATGAACAAAATCAACAGTGACACAAATACATGCTTTTCACACTTTGCTGAGTCTGTGCTTCGTTGCCTGGGCTTGCAATAGATTTAAAGGAAAATAAATGTGACTCTTAGTTTGAGCACTTTAAAAAATGAAACAGACGTGTGTTTACCTGACCCCAATATGTTATACAATACTAAGGTGACGATACTGATGGGTAAGACCTTAAAAAATTGGAAATGTAAGTGAAACGTGGATTATTTACCTATGAAATGGTTATATTCTTGTTTTGTACCATCATCATGAGCGACACTGGGATGTTAAAGGTCATAATCTGTTGAAAAATAAGTTTTGAGCATCTTGCGGGTTTTTTATTTGCAGTGTTTTGTTGATGCAGCGCTTTTAGTTGTGCATGTTTCGTGAAGTTGGTGGAGATGTTTCTTAATTTGCATGTGTTTTGGCACATTTGTGTTTTTATAGTAGCTTTGTTTCTGAAACTGCGGTGCGTTACTCCCCTAATTGAAGTGATTGTAGAGCGTTGCACCTGTCGACCTTCATGAGTATTATGGCTTTAATAAAATGAATAGAGGTCTACTGATTCAAATGTTTTCCAAAGTAACAACACAAAGGGATAAAAATGTCGGCCAATTACGACAGTCCCCTAGTTACTACCTGAGTTGGCATGGAAACTGCACTATGCATGACCAGCCAACAAAACAAAGTACATTAATTAGGTAGAAATGTATGTGTATTTATTCCCAGCAGTTTCTTGTATAAACACACAATGATGCATTTTTGCATAATATCACGCCATACCTTTTTTTAAGTTTGCCTTAATTAGCTCCATCCCCCCTGTTGCTCAGGATTTAAAGATTAGGGAAAGAACAGAACATATTTCCTCAGCCTTTTATAAAATGGAACATGTGTTATTAACTCCACTGAGTGAAAGATGTTTTATGTGTTGCACACATGGACACTAAAGGGACTCTCAGACGCGCATACGTTTAAAACAAAATCCTTTTACTGTTTTCGTTGTGAAATACACAAACACATCACTGCAACATGGCTGATGCTCTCGGCCAGGTCTAAAAAGTTGAGTCTCTGCATAAACACTACAGGCATAAGCCATGTAATTTAGCATGTGACGCATTGTTTTACACGAAACACTCAACATTTATCCGGTGAAGCTATTATAAAACTTTGACATAACTCTCATATCTGTATTACTGCTGTTACTTTGGATATACAATGTACATCCTTGTCACTGTTTGTATACAACTACTCATCACTTTAGCTTACCAACATCCCTGTAACGTGGCTGCATAATAGAGTGGTGCAGTGACAAGTCCTAAAACCCGGAAGTGAGTTAGCATTTTACCACTACCGGTTCCCTCATCTCAGAGTCAATAGGATTTTGGAAAATAGCTGGAAATAAGGTCTGTGGTTGACACAAATTTAAGAGACGGATCACGTTTTGTTCTACGACATTAAATACATCAGCAGTGACCCCACTGGTGATTTTTGAAGAGTTGACGTGTCTGAAAAACGATGGTTGTTACCAAGTGGCTGAATAGGACTACAGAAGTTGTCGAGGACGTTGTACGTCATTACGCCGAACACGTAAACACTCCCGCTAAGATTGTTTGCCCCTGTTCTGCTTGAAAGCAAGTACCTGCCTCCTGCAAACTGTTCAAACAAACGCTTCAACTTTTTTTGCAAGTCGTGACATTGAAGTCGTGCGACCCTGCTGTAGTTCGTTTATAGCATAACGTTAGCATTTTGCTTCTGGCGATTAGATTTATGATTTCAAAAATTATAAAAGTAGGGTAGACATGTGGATATTATCTGGCTGAACAAAACGTGCATTTATCAAACAGGTTCGTTTTCCACAGACCTTATTTCGAGCTATTTTCCAAAATCCTATGGAGAAATCCCGTTGCTTTTTTGTCGAGGGAACCCAAGCGCAGCTTACTTCCGGGTAAATACGTCATCCCTGTCCACTAGGTGTAATAAGTGATGCCTTTACTTCTTCTGCGTTTCACCTGTAGGACCCCTGAGCTGCCCTCAGCTTTTCTCCTGGTAACTATAATTTGACCTACTAAATAAAAGTAATAAAGTTGGAATTGCACATGAACATATATAGGAAAATGACCGGTTGATTCAACATCATATAAAGTGCTTTTGCAATATAATACAGCTTTGTGTCCATTACTAGGCCAATACTGTGGGTTACAGGAATGCAACCATAATGAACATGACTTCCATCATCTCGTATAACCTTTCTCAATTAACATGTCAATAACAAGCCCTCAGTGTTTATTTATTTTAATATTTGGCTGCATCTGCACTGTTTAAAGGACAAAAGCAAAGTTTCACGTCAGCAAAAAGCTAAACCACAATGACTTATTTAAAAAAGATGTGGTGTATACAACACAAAATAACCCTCCATCATTGTCTCTTCAGTTTTCTTTCTTAAAATACAAATACAATACACAAGCACACTCCTTTTTGCCATTCTCCTCCCCTGAGTTTTTGATGTCATTGTTTGTTACTTTGATTATTTGGCGAGACATTTTTATAAGCCTCTCTGGATTTCTGAATCATCTGCGTACTTCACATCTCATCATCTCTGTACTTTATCATCTGTATAAACAGGTGACAATAAAACCGAAATCCTGACAGAAATAACTGTATATTCAATCACAACATGAACCATGTCACATTTATTGTTTTACATTCATTTGCAGCTTATTTACAACTTCAGGTTTTATCGCAGGGTGCAATGTGAAAGTCAGGTTTGTGACACCACCTCGGAAACAGAGCCAATTTTATTTCCTGCAATGACAACACATGCTTGAGTGGTCAGCGGAGCTCATTTGCATATTAATTATCAGACAGATGCTCCGGTCTCTCTGCTGTATGTACAGAGCACCGAGTTGGTCTACGAAGTCCAACTGGAGACGTGTTTACCAAACTGCATCCTCACAAACACGTTTCTTTATTTGGAGGAATTAGGTGTCGGCACATCTTGTCTTCGTTGTCATTTTTTAAACAACTTTAGTTTGTAACACTATATTGATTTACCTCTTTAAAGGTGGGGTAGGTAAGTTTGAGAAACCGGCTCGAGATACACTTTTTGTTATATTCCATGGAATGCTCTTAACATCCCGATAGTAATGAATATTTTAAGTGCTTTGACAAAAAATCCATAAAAAAATGTCATCTGTGGAAGCCGTAGCGCTGTAAAAAGCACGACCAATCATCTGAGCCGGCCCGGCTAAAATAACTGGATGGCCTACCTGCCTGTCAGCCTTCCATCTGTGCACAAACTTATCTCGTGCCCTCATTGGTCATGTGTGCGTTCGTGTGTGTTGGAGGAGGGGCTCTGTAAGGAAGTGGCAGATTTTCTCCGGTTGCGTATTTTCAAATTCTAGCGCACTCGAGCTGGTTTCTCCGAAATTACCTACCCCACCTTTAAAGCTTTCTACAGTACTACGGCTTCCACAGATGACATTTTTTTATGATGAAAATAAGGAGCCACTCCCCACGCCCCTCTGAGAGATATTTGGTTAAAAAGAACACAATGGTGCTCTAGGAGGAGATTCAGGTCATAAGGGGGGGGGGTTACCTTGGTTGGTGATTGGCTAATAGTGTCGTGTTGTGAAGTTAAAAAGGGGATCGTATGATGGTGACAAAGAGAAAGAAAGTCACTCTAAATAACTAATAAGCTCTATTTCCACCTGTAGCAACATGCGAACACACATTCAGGCCGTCACTCTGTCTCCCTCGCTCCGCTTTTTTCTGACCTTCCCTCCTCTTATCTTTACTTGTTTTCTTCTGATTTCCTCCAGAACTTGTTTCCTGGGTGTCTGGGTGTGGCGCGTCATGCTGTGGATGAAGTGGAAGATGGGGGTGGACTCGCTCAGAGGACGCAGACGGAGGCTGCCCTGCTCCCTCTGGTTCCTCCTGCTGTTCGCTGCTGGAGGTCTGCTGCTCTTCATCCACCAGAGGGATCTGTCAGAGATGGTGCAGCAGCAATACCCAGGTTAGTCCACCCTACACCCCCCAACACCGCATATACCTCCACACTGTAGAGAGTGATAGAAAGAGGAGCATACACCTGCCACAAATGAAGACAAAGCACTGTTAGTAGTTTGTTAGAGGGTGTTAACCATGCCTAAAATGAAGACTGTTCAATCTCAGCTTGGTTGTTATAAAATAATAAAAATAATATTTAAAAACATTAAAAAAAAATATTTTTTTTTAAAATATATATATTTTTAATATTATTTTTGTTATATTTTTCATTAGTTTTACCGAAAAAAAACTTGATTTCATAAAATAACATTTCCAAAGAAATAAATCCTTCGAATCTGCCTGTTCAGTCTCTGTTTGAATGTCAGTTACTATAGCGGGCCTCTCTGCGATTCACAGAGGGCCCGCTATAGTAACTGAACGAGAGAGTAATGTCAAATGACAGTACAATTGACCAATCATATCTTCCCTCTAAATGGGTGGGTTTTATTATCGCGGACTTTATGACGAGTTCCGCCCGCTGTGAAACTTTTCTTGTTTCCATAGCAACAACAACTTCCTGTCAACAGCGTGAACTCGCCTTCAAAATAAAAGCATGCCAAATTACACTTAAGACATACGAAAGTAACAAACACAATGCAATATCATTTTCAATGTCAAAGAACACAAATTGGGTTCACAGGTGTTGTTTTGTGTGGTAGAGGGTCGCTGTCATTGATGCGTTTTGCACCCTGGGCCGTTGTTTTGATATTCCGCTGAAGTATACGCTGTGACGTAATAACTATTTTTTTTTCTTTTTTTCGAGGGAAGGGGTGGGGGTCAGAGGGCCTAGGTATAAAGCTTACGGCTCGCCACTGAAACAGAGATAGTGATTGCTACAAGATGAACCTAAATACATCAACTTACGTACATGTATTGTTTCTTATGGTCATTCATGTTTTGACCTCTTTACTATACGAATGATCTCTCGGGCTTAACAGGTTAACCTGTTAAGCCCGAGAGACCCCGGAACCAGGGCACTGCCGCAACATCTTGCAGGAAACAGCGTCTGAGGGCATGTTCATTTAATAAAACTATGAATGTTTTATATCCATGTAACGGGAAGAAACTCATCTAACTGACCATTTTTTTTTTTTTTTCAAAAGAAAACCCACAATGCTAACACTGAGCCTCTGAATTAGCAACGAGCGAAAAAATGCTAACACCTTACTGCACCGAAAATCACTCACAAAACCTTATTATTTATCTTTTCACCACATCCAACACATCGATTTACATCGTGAGGTGACACAGAATCTATTGACACCGACATTACCACTGAATTATAGGTATTTGCGACGTTATAAGCAAAAACGGACATCAAAACAGGTGACGCTAGGTAGCTAAAAATGCTAACATTTTTACCTTGGCTCTGTAGTCTCTCCAAAGTGGTCTTCAATGGCATTAAAACGATAAAAACGCTGCTGAAGTTAATCCATAGGTTAATCTAATGTGTCTGTGTCCCTTTGAAATGATTTCTGATAATCCATAAGCATTAAAACTGCTTTTCCGTTTCCAGATGTCAAAGCTAGAGATAGGTTCACTCTGATTGAAAATTACATGCGCGAAGCCCCCACCTTTTCTCTTCACAACGTGTGTGTGTGGGGGACTCCCCCTTCGATTATATTGGCTCTAACGGTCAGAAAGAGGTGTCAACCATCAAAATTGAGCAAGGGGGGCCAGAAATATGGAAAATCCACCCAAATGACCCCAGAAGTGGTTTCTTTTTGCTAAATGTCTCTAAAAAGGTCAAATGCAGTGGCGAGCCGTGAGCTTTATACCTAGGCCCTCTGACCCCCACCCCTTCCCTCGAAAAAAAAAAAAAAAAGAGTTATTACGTCACAGCGTATACTTCAGCGGAATATCAAAACAACGGCCCAGGGTGCAAAACGCATCAATGACAGCGACCCTCTACCACACAAAACAACACCTGTGAACCCAATTTGTGTTCTTTGACATTGAAAATGATATTGCATTGTGTTTGTTACTTTCGTTGCAGTTGTATGTCTTAAGTGTAATTTGGCATGCTTTTATTTTGAAGGCGAGTTCACGCTGTTGACAGGAAGTTGTTGTTGCTATGGAAACAAGAAAAGTTTCACAGCGGGCGGAACTCGTCATAAAGTCCGCGATAATAAAACTCACCCATTTAGAGGGAAGATATGATTGGTCAATTGTACTGTCATTTGACATTACTCTCTCGTTCAGTTACTATAGCGGGCCCTCTGTGAATCGCAGAGAGGCCCGCTATAGTAACTGACAACAGAGACTGAACAGGCAGATTCGAAGGATTTATTTCTTTGGAAATGTTATTTTATGAAATCAAGTTTTTTTTCGGTAAAACTAATGAAAAATATAACAAAAATAATATTAAAAAAATATATATTTAAAAATATATATATTTTTTTAATGTTTTTAAATATTTTTTTTTGGAATATCTTAGGCCCTCACAGAGGGCCTAGAGGGCCCTGACGGCTCGCCACTGGTCAAATGTCACTTGTTTTGCATCAATCTTGATACAGGGTACTTATTATATGTTGTACTTTGGATTCCTAAAGCTTTTAGTCTACTAACCCATCATCCAAGGGTGGATTTCACTATAAGTAAAAAATTATTTTTGGACGGATACTATCATTTACAGTTTTTTACTATGTAAAATCTGAATTTTCTTTAAAATAAAAAACATCTATATTGATTCTGACTTTTCTACATCCAACTCACAGGTTTATCATTACTTTGAGAAAAAAGATTATTAATTTAACCCTTTTAGAAGGGACAATATGGTCATTTGTTCTGGGAATGTCATTTTCGAGCCTGAGACCTGACAGGCTCAGGGCTTAACAGGTTAACTTTGCATTGACTTTTGCATTACTAAGCATAACATTTAGCATTTTTCTCAATGGTTGCATTGCAAAACTCAGGAATGCGCCGGTGAAGATGGCTGCATTCCTCTCCAACTTTGGCTTTTTTTCGTATTTTTTCAGTGTTTATTTCACTATTTCTTTTCTGTTTGTCTGTTTTGTTGAGTTGCACTGTTGGAGGAGCCTGTGACCTAAGATTGTCATCGTCATAACTACACTGTAGCTATGACCAATGAAAGCCTTGAACCTTGAACCTTGATTACCTCTGATCAGAGGAAGCTTTGTTATGGTCTGAGCTTTATTATGATATAGTGTTGTACTGTGTAACAGATCACCACTGGTTGTGTGCTTGCTGTATTATCGCTGTTTAATAAATAAATAACAAAGCTAGTTAACCTGACGCTCACTGTTTAAGGACTGATGTGAGCCCATAGCCCTAACCATACAATACAATTCATACCAAAAGCACAGCCAGTCGTCGTTTGGTCAGAGTTTCCACAGAGATGGAGGGAGGTCTACCATTCAATTTCCAAATGAGTCGAACCAGGGTCCTCTAAAGGGACCTACTGTGCATCTGCTTGGCTCTCAGCATTAAGGAGATTTGGGTTTAAGCAGCCGTGATGGAAGAGTGTCCTGAGCGTGTGAAACTAAGCTGCTTCATGTCTCAGAAACAAGAGATCAGCTGCTTGCTTATGTGCCTCTTTGGCGTGTACTACACTCTAAATGAGAGCAGGATTAGTTTTTTGTTGTTGTTGTTGTTGTTGGAACAGCTCATGCGATGGACTTTGACTCAAATATATTGACACACATCGTCAGTGGTGATATTTCAACTCATATTGATGACTTTTTGACATCATCAGGGTGATGTTGTCTTTTTTTTAAACTATAATGAGAGTAACATTTTTCGTGTTGCCACTGCTGTAAATAATCAATGTGTTTGTGGTCCAGCATGGCTCTCTGGGGATAAAACCTTCAACTTGACATACACTAAAGTCAACTGAGGTGCGACACTGCTGTGTTTCAACAGCATTGTGAGTCATTTTAAATATCAGAGCAGTGTTACATCGCACAGCAAACAGAGCCACTCAGCTAGAGGCGAATCTCTCTGACCCTCTAATTTCCCCCTGATTGTCAGAAGCTTTCAGGCACCGTGTCAGGTGAAAACAAAGAGCCATTCACAATGAAAAATACACATGCAGGAAACAAAACATACACATCACGTACAAATCAACGACCTGTATTTGATTTTCATGACAAATAACAGACACAAACAATGAAAGAAGATATCTTGGTCAAAACATTTTAGAATTAGAACAAATTGAGGCAAATCATTTCATCTTTCCCTTTGTTATGTGTCAGCTGGATGGATGTGCACAATTAGGTGTGACTGTCATTTGTATCACTTAAAATGGCTAACATTTTAATTAAGCCCATCACTGGATGCATTCAATATTAATCCACATTTTTTTAATTGATTATGTAATCATTGTTTTCTCTTTGATAATGGGTTATGGGTCTTTTTTGTATATTTTCAGAATTGCATTTTTGTGTGTGTTTTGGACGCATTTTTAATGTCCTCTCTAAACAAACACTGTCACATTCACTTGAAAGAGTATTTCTGGTGTATTCTACCTAGATCTACAACCTTTCATAGTAGCTATTTGTTTATGATAATGTTTAACTCACCAAAGAAACAGTTTGGTTTTAGATTATTTTAGTATTCTTTCTCTAAAAAGTTTGTCCCTCATTTTACAACACTGACATATTTTTTAGAATGTTTTGTATTCAGACGCCTTGCAGCTGCACTTCTGCTTATTTTCCTCCTTCAGTTACAGAGTCACCCTTGAGCATAATCATATAGTATCTCGTAACGTGTGAACACAAACTGCAGAGTATTGCCCATATCCTCTCTTTTGCACGTCATTGAGCACTTGACATTAATTTACTGACGGCTATTAACGAGTGCTTTGACATTTAACATGCACGCTTTAGAACAGCTGTCTGGAGGAAACGTCTCCAACGAGCCTCACCGTTTGACAACAGTTTCACGCTGACAGACAATCAGACATCTGACCTCGTACAGATCAGCCTGCAATTTAAACTGATCTAAGTC